ATATATATTTTTATATTCTTGTATTTCTTGTCGTTTGTCTGCTTATGCTGCTTTTAATTCATACGAAAGCAGATATTTATATTAAACCAAGAAATTTGTGTCAAATTTTGCTTTTTTTCAGGTTTACTGGGAGGAATATTTCTTCAGAAAAATTTTTATATTTTTGTTGTCATTGATATATGTATTTATACTTTTCTATTATACTGTAATTATTATTGTTATTAAACAATGCTTAATTAAACATTGCTACAAATTTTTTGTCATCAATCACGCTTGATTGCAATTGCAACGTTTCGATTAGATTTTATCAGCTTTTAGCATAATTTTGCGAATAAATCCTAATTATTTTTTACTATGTGTGAGGCATAATATTAATAAGATTGTGCATTAACAAAATCTATTATGGTACGCATATAAATGTTTGTATATATATTTATATTTAAATGATTTTTTGTTCATATTTTTCCAATCTTATCATTAATTTTCTTTCTTGTACCTAAATCTTCAGGTGCGGCATGCATTGAAAAATAAAGAAATAGATTCCCGACATTATGATATTACTGCGCAATCTCGTGCAGCGAGAAGAACGAAGTCATCGGATGCTTCATTTGACAGTGATAGCGTCGACAAAATTCGAAAGTAAAGTATAATCTCATTAAAATAAATCCATATAATAAAGTATAATCCAAACTAATATTATGGAAAATAGTGCAACAAAAAAATACATCTAAAAAAAAGTACACGATTAATCTATTAATGCAAAACGTTATAACGTCCGCGTTATCATCATCAATGATTCAATTTTTTATCTTTTTCTGCACAGAGTAATAAAGAATCAGAACGTGAACATGAATATGAATATCCTCGGTCATGAGCATCATAGTCGTGAGTACCATAAACAAAACAAATCTCCTAAGAAGGATCAGTCGTATTATCGTCAATACTTCAAATCACTAGAGAACTTTTCCGAGGCAGAACAACCAGCAAACTGCACGAGCGGTAAGAAGGAGAATCAGAGATATTCGAGTAGCTTCATCGGAAACGTAACGAGTCGTAGTGTCGAGCTGACTGTTGACAAGGAATTTAAGAATGTGGTCGGCAATAATTCCAAGGCTAAGACGATCAGCAGTGTTCATGAGGACGAGGATATTACTTTGTGCTGGATCGAGACAACGACCATCAAAGAGAACAAGACCATTCGACCGCCGAAAAGGCTGGTGATCCGCGAGTACACGATTTCCTTCGAGAATTCGGCGACTATACCGGATAAGTATCTTGAATGCAAAAAGCTTGAGGGTGAATTAACACCGAATGATAAAGAGATCGGCAAAACGTCTCTGTTCGAGGTTATGGACGAGGATACCAAGGTCAGCAGGGTTGTAAATTTCACTTCGGTTAGTCATGTCGGGGACGTTATCATTTGGCAACATAAAAAGGTGAAATGCGGGGTCGGTCCAGTGGTCAGTAAGAACATCATAGAGTGGAGCGACGGTTCAAAACACCCGAAAAAGAGAGTAGAAATTAAAGTTAGTCCCAAACTGCATCAATTAACGGTGACAAAGACCGACGAGGAGTCCTGCACGGAGAGTTCCGCGGAAGATGAAAATGAAACGAGTATCGATGCCGCTACTGAATCTTGTGAAAATACGGAGAGCGGCTCTTGTAAAGTGACTACAAAGTCTGAGGACATTTTAATAAAAAATAGTACTGAGGTTAGCATAAGCGAAGAAGTCACTAAACCAAAAGAAGACGTCGATAGCGAAAACGACAGCGAAGAAGATCTTAGTATGTCTACTGGTATTACAAAGCCACCGACGTTACCTAGTGAAGGAATACTTACTACGGTCGTTCCCAAAGAACCTATTACGAATAAAGAGATTGTAAGCTGTGAGGAGGATTCGTCCGATTCATCATGTACAACGCAAAATAATATCATGCATTCTTCATCTTCGAAAGAATTGTTCACCGAATCAGGCGCGACGGAAGCAATTACACAGATTTCAACTACAATTGTTCATAAAGAAATTGTTACAAAAGAAGATACTTCTGATAAAGAAAAACCACCACAGTTTTCCTCTAACTCAGAAGAGGAAACAGAAGTATTTTCTGATTTAATAACTGACGAGCCAGTTTTATCAACACCCACAACAGATATTTTAATAAGATCTTCGAAAGCATCTGTTACAACCCCTGAAAATATTGATTATAGTGCTGTCAGCACGCCAGAAACAAATATTACGACAAGTCATAGCGTGACAAAAGATGAGAAAGAAGAAGAACACTTGACGCCCAAAGAAAATAGCAATGAAACTTCTGCTGAATTGACAAGCGAAGATTTAATTGAGATAAACCATGTTCCGTCTTCCAGCATAAGTACGATAACTTCAGCTGAGATTAGTGCTGAGCAAGAAATTACAACCAAGGTACCATCGTATGGAGTCACCGAATTCGTGGAAGAATCCGAAACATTTACCGAAATCTTAAACAAGCTATTTACATCATCAATTTCGACTGGAAGTATACCTGAAGATGTAACCACTCAGTCTACATCAATGTTCGAAGAAGTGCCCTCCAAGGGAAGTGGAGACAGAGTAGCAACCGAAATTAAAAAGCCATTGACAATTGGACCAAATACTGACCCGACAAAAGCATTGACTTCCACGTTTTCAACGATAACGCCGTCTACGGAGATCAAACCGACGGCGAGCAGCGAGGTTGATTACATATGCGAGAACTCTGAAGATTGCTCATATATCAACATTTCGGAATCTTGCAACGAATCCGAAAATTGCGACAGTGCAAGCGCCAAGTCTTGCGAGTCAGGGACATGTTCTGAGGAGGAAACCATCGAGAATCAATCAAAGCCTGACACGGTTTTATCAACAAAAAATCAATCGTTCGTAACTGAATCGCAGTCGTCTGAACAGTCAGCAACGATCGATATTCAGCACACGACTATCGCAAATGTCGCAACGACCGTATTAATCGCTCAGGAGGCTGAGAACAATTCAACGGCGATCAATACTATGGACACTCAAAGAAGCACAACTACAAATAAGCCACAACACAAATTGACTTTGAAAGTGAAGATTCTTTTAGAACATATCAACGAAAAGAAGGAGAAGCACAACTTGGTCGAGGTTGAGAAGCACTTGTCATTTGATGAGAATTTGATACAAAAAAATCATCCTGACTTGCTGGAACAATTTAGATACTTGAACGAATCTGTCAACGAAGAAACCTTAAGCGCGTTACTAAATTGTACCGGCTTAGGCAATTTGACAAAGAAACCGAATATTAACAGTACGCAATCGAATGATGTTATTGATAAGATTCATAAAAGATTAGAATATACGGATCCTTCTGCCTTTGAAGATTTAATCTCAGAACAATTTACTTCTGAACGCATCCTTGCTGAAAACGAGGACTTCCAGTATCCTGAATACGATCAAGAAAACAATCGAGAGAACGAGGTACCATCTCGAAGACGAAGACGCAGAAGTCTTGATGATAAAAAGGAAGATTTAGGTGAACTCAATATTGTTACAAAAAGTTTCATTGATTCTGATAAATCGTCGATTACGGCTAATTCCTTAAGCGTTTCAAAATTACAAAATATTCCTTTGACGGAGACTACGCATCCTTCCACAACGACAAATAATCCCGAAGAAGGAACAAGTGATGCTACATATATAGAGAATGAACGAAATATAACTACAGAAGAAAATGACAGCGTAACGTTTTCGACAATAAAAGACAACGATACCTATTCAACCACTTTGGAATATCAGGATGTTAATGTGACAAAGGAGAGCATACAGCTTTCTACAACGACAAACAACCCTGAAGAGAAAACGAGCGACACAGTACGTACGGAAAGTGGAAACGATACAACTACAGAAATAGTTTTAAGCACAGTGCCTTCGGTAAGTGAGAACGTCGACAACGAGACGAAGATAGAAGTCGTACAACAGGTATTACCAGGGATACAGGAAGATGTTTCGGCTGGGTTGATGCGCGTGGTTTCAGAATTGACGCAAAATAATTCGCTCTCCGTCAATGATATTAAGAAAATAATCCAAACGAATCTGCTAAGTATCATAGCAGATCCCAAGGATAACAGGATTCACTCGAGGGTAAGACGAGCGGCTGCAGAAGAGGTCGGACATTGGTCGAACGAAAGGATCAGAGAGGCGCCGATGGGCGGCAGTCTTAGAAGTTTCACCGAATTCACACTATACAAAGTCGTCTCTTGAAGAGATGTTTGGCAAGTCTAAAAGTTTTACCTTGCCATTTTAGTAAATCTAATATCAAATAAAAAATAATTTCAAAATCAGCTGAAATCAAAGATTACATTGTGCGTGTATAAATTTCATTGTGTCTTCTTAATTTAATCATATAAATTTATAAGAAAGGCTTTGTAATCTACATTCGTTTATCAAAACATGGCAGATATAAAATTATATAAAGATATACTTTCTATTTACAAAAAATGTAAATTACAAATTTATAAACAAATATAATATGCAGTTAAAATTATAAAAGAAAAATGTAATTATTGATATAGAATTAATAAGAATATTATTCTATATATTTACACTATAATATACTTTCACATATTTTTATTGATATAATTTTTAATAATCTCCTCTCTTAGCAATATCAATTCATCAATTTATCTGTCTTTTATGGTATGGGAGAAGCAGATATTTACAACGTTTAATAATCTTTAAAGTGGTAAGCGTACTTGATTATCGCGTGAATGATTATAGCTCGTTTATAACGGTCGGAAATAATTAATCGCGAACAACAGTTGCACAATCGCATTGACCGAATCGCGCCTATAATAGATTGTATTAACGAGGAATTGTTACGTACTTTTATTATTTCCATTAAGTTAAAAATAATACCGCATGTGATAAGTATGATTGTTAAGCACTCGATAATCAAAAATCCGCTTGTTATTTTTTCTATCAGTCTATAATATTCCATTTATGCCGGAGAAATCTTTTTACGATTTGTAATTATAGATAATTATCACGCTACATATTCTCTTTTATCTTCTTTTCGCATCAAATGTATTCCATGTAATATTTTTTACATATCTGACATTTTTTTTTCTCTCCACCATCTTCTCAGAGACCCATAATATCTCTGCTATTCACTAAATATATATTTGTTATAATTAAGAGAAGATTATTTCGCAAAAATTATTTATTTCTGCACTTTAATAAATTATTTAACAATTGTTAATATTACATAATGATATACATCGGTTTCGATTTTCATACATTATTATATCTTCTATATAGATTGTAATCGTATCTATGCGATATATTCTCCTGCGGAATTTGATTGTGTTGGACATATGTATCTCTGTGGTGATACGCACTTCTCCGACGTAGGTTCGAACACTAGCGTGTTCGGGCATGTGAGGTTATTCATCATGGTGTAACCGGTGCCGTTCCAATAACATAGGAAATACATCTTACAATACGGATCCTGTATCGGGAATCTGCCGTATCGTAAGCAGCGTGGCGTTTGCTGGCACGTAGTCATATTTTCGGGCACGCATCTGCCCATGATGGGATCGAATATAGCGGAGCTGGCACACGACAGTGTCATCTTCGTCAGCGTCACGCCATTGTCTATGCACATGTAATAGTTCTTACATGTTCCGTCGTCGATTTCAAAGAACCCTACCTCGGTGCAGGTAGAGCTCGTCGTATTTTGAGTTCCGGCGATTTTGACCAAGCTGAAGCACAAAAGACACAAAAAAACAACGATTGGGAAACGTTCCATTATGGCGTCACGTCGTGCCGATTCGATTTGACTGCGATTCGATTTATAATGCTATTTATAATGATGAGGTTTATGGTTTGTAGTGTTATACGCTCGTTTATTAGGGAATTAATTAGGATATCAGGCAATGCAGCACATCTATATAATCTCAGTACACAGATAAAATGAAAAGACCTTGGTATAAATTGCGTATAAAATCTTGTCTATACTCGGTGTCTTGAAATTTTAATCTAAATTTTATCGATGGATCTCTGTACAAATTTAACTCTTCAATGTATTCGCTTACATTTTTCCCCCTTATTTATCAAATTTAATATTACTTTTTAATTCAAATATATTAATTTATTAATTACGTATTGACTATATATAACACACATTTAATCACTAATGCGATGCAATTAAAATATAACATTGTATGTCCAATGTCATTTAAAATCAAGACAGTACCTGGGCATCCCCAACGTTTCTTTTCAGGTGAAACGTTGGACAATTTAGAATGCGTCGTTTTTAACGCGACGGCCTTACAACGAGGAAATCGAGGGTGAATCTACGGAATACAAAATCGCCAGAAAGCGGCGAGAAAGTTGCGTATTGGGTTTAACGTCCTGGTGTTATTATATTGCAAGTTTCTATACGTGCTCGCGATATACATGTATGTCGATTATGTGCGCATATCCTGTATGTAATCATTCGATCAAAATAAGTCATCATTCTATGTATCTCCCGTTTTCTCATATCAAACATTTATTTATTTTGGTCCAACTCGACTGCAGGACCCTCGACTCCAGGTAGTTCTTCACAATATTTATCATCAGCATGGTCAAAGGACGAGATTTTTTCCGAACAGGTAGAAAAATATCCTTCGTTTTTCCGTGGGTCCAATTGTGGCCTGACAAAAAAAAAAAAAGAGATCGGCCGAATTGCATACGGAGGGATCCTTGTTTCGGAGCGAGGGAAAGGTGCAACGGGAAGGGGAGAGAGGTGTCAGATAGGAAGGAGAGAAGCGCAAATGTATATAAGTGACTTGGACCGAAGAGGCTTCAATGGACTCTCTCTTTGACCCTGATCAAGTGCGCATCCTTCCTTCCATTTTCATTTTTTCCCATCTCCCTTCCCACGCGTGGTCGTGCCGCGTTTCAGGGTCCTGCGTCCTTCCACTTCAACCTTCACCTTCTCGCGACGAGGAACAGAATCGAGTTGCCGTGTCCGTCGGTCGCGCATTACGTGTTGTGACGATGCTACAAGGTTGAGAGCTAGCGAAAATCCAATTTGCTCTAGAAAAAAACTTAGGACGAAGAGTGTGATTTTGGTTTCATGTGTAAAGTGTGACATGTTCCTGACAGGAAGATCCTGACTGTGGGAGAAATGGATGCTCGAAGAGTGAGTAATACTATCAGTAAATAATTAATTATCGCCGCTGTTCTGTCAGTATGTGATCGTTGAGTTGTTATTGCTGTTAGATTAAAGGGTTTCTTTCTCTGAGTTTGTGTGTGGACTGTGGGAGAAATGGATGCTCGAAGAGTGAGTAATACTATCAGTAAATAATTAATTATCACCGCTGTTCTGTCAGTATGTGATCGTTGAGTTGTTATTGCTGTTAGATTAAAGGGTTTTTTTTCTCTGAGTTTGTGTGTAAAATATTTTATTAATTAGTGTTGATGTAATGTACGTCAACAACTAGCTGTCAAATTATTATTAAATTATTAACTCGTTTGCATTTATTATTAATTAACAAACAAATTGTATAAACGTAATCGTAAAAGTTTTCTAATAGTCTGATACTTTTATTTTATATAATAAAAATATCCTGGAGATAAAATTTTAGGACTGTATAATAACAGTAGTATAAAATATTCGTTTTACGACATATTATATGTAGCATTAAATTATTTTATCGCGATAAAATATAGTTTTTGATTAAAAATGCAAATCGCTGTTCTTATTACATTTCTAGGCCACTTTAGTAAATTTAATGATGGATTATTTTAATATGTCATAAATCTACTATGCGATATCGATAACGAGGCAAATTGTGTAGATTGCACGATTATAATATACCGAGAGTCATGGGAGTCTTGACGACATAGAAAAGACGTGTACCGCTTTCGAGTCTAATCTATATTGCATATGGATAAAATAAACGTGGACTTTCTGCATTTATATCAAACATTGTTTCATCAGTTTCAACTCTAATATTCGCACATATATTTGGTATATACAAATTGATTTATATTGATTAGGGATTTATAATACAGATATTGTAAAAAACTTTGTAATACGAAAAATTACAAAAAACTAAAAAATAAAAATAAAAAATAATAAATCACAATTATTTTTTAAATATATAGGTACAAAATATTTGTTGTCGAGAAATAACGCAATAAAAGAGCGGGACATTTATTTACAAAAATTAGATTATATCTTGAATACAATATATTGAAAAATAAATTTTATTTATTTTAAATAATTGATAGTCACAGATTCTCTCTAATTCTGAAATTGATTTCTTTGGGCAAATCAATTCGATTTCATAAATCGGCGAAAATCATCTCAGAGAGTCACGTTCTTTAATTAATCAGGAGAGCGGAGTAGTATGTTAATGCACGGCCGGCGTTGTGTCTCGAGAGTCATGGCTGATTTATGCACACCGCGAATCGTGCGCGTCGGAACAACGAAGACGTATATGCCGCTTTCGAGGCGAACGATCAAGCTGTTTGGCACAGTGCCAGTCGAAGAGGGAAACTCTTTCGGACGACCTAAATCTGTCGCTTTCCGTTTGCCCGTTTCATCTAGTCTCGATTTCCAAAAACGTGTATGGAAACACAAATATTTCGTATATTATAACATTTTATACGTGATACATCTATTAAATGTAATTATACAAAACTATTATTTCAAAATTAGCGGGAAGTGGAGACGAAGCATTATTTCTTGTCGGCTAAATCTGGAGTCAGCTGCTTGTTAACAAAAATGTAGAGATGCTAATGATATTTGAGGTATGCTATAAAAACTGGATGGCTTTTCATAAGTTAAAATGCAAAAATAAATAATGGAATAATCATTTGTTATTCAGAAATAGCCATTACTTTGATAAAAAAAAAATTAATTTAAAGCTCAGTTATTAAGAGATATTTATCAAATATTAAAATTTGATAGATTTTTTATTAAAGATGATAATCTTCTTTGACAGGTTTATTACATACACAAAGAAGAACTGATTTTAATATTTTATCAATTATAAAATATTGTATACATTTATAATATTATTTAAGATCAAAATCGAAAGTATTTTTTGCTTCTGTCAGTCATGTTGCTGCTATTATTGCACGCAGTTGCAGATTATATGTGTTTCAATTTTAACTATAATGTACAGTACTGATAACAGATGAATATATACAACACAAATATATACGAAAGAACGCGAGAGATCGTTTAAAGAGACAGAAAGAAAAGATTTTAGACTTACTTTCTATTTACACGTATTTTATTGATTTATCTTTAACAAAGTGTCATTATCTTTACAAATGTGCGATATCTAAGCAAATACAAAACTATTTTTGTATTTTAATTACGTTTAAGATTCCGGTTGTTTGCTTTAATGATATCTTATTTGCACGCAAGGTTTCTTACAATCTGTCAATGTTAAGAGTCGAAATAGATGTATTGCGGATATTTGCGAATAACTTATATTATGCTGCAATATTTATTTCCAACAATATTAATTTCAACGAGCATGACAAGTAAGTCAGGAAAGTTAGCTAACAGAAATGTTTGCATCGACAAAATAAAGGTGAAGTCTCCTTCCCTTTATTAGACACATTCTTTCGTTACATTACGTTGTCAACAATTTTTTAATGTGTTCTTATACGTTTATCAGATTTTTGTATATTTTCTTTTTATTCTTGTTCTTTCTCTCTTTCTCTTTATAACGTTGTTTATACTACTTTTGTGTGTGCTGTTTTTTTACTGTTACATATAATCTTGTATTTTGCAAATATTTATGAAATCAAATTTTTTAGAATAAAAAAGCTTCTGTGATAAAAGATAGATATATTTCCAAACTATTTTGCAAACAAGATGATAATCTGTTGAAATTTTTTTTGCTCTCCAGGTTGATAATTTTAATTAGTTATAATAAAACAATCAATTATATTTCGATTTTTTACGTTAATAAAATCATATGAGAAGTGAACGCAAATGTCATATATTTCCAACACTTGTCGAATTGGAGCAGAGCTCGCGATGTAAATACGATAGTTAACTCTCTCTGGCTCTTGTAATTGTCTTCTGCGCCGTTGAAGTACCGTTAGGGCTCGTCTTTTCTGCAAGATCGCCGACATCTCCCGATTTTCACTCGACTATTCCCACGGGACGTGGCTCAGAAGAATTTAGACTCTGTCTTGAAAAGTGACAGCATAATCGTCATTATCTTTCTACAGTCTTGTTCCGTTGCATATACATAATTTTAAAATTATTTTACAAGAAAAGCGGATACATACATAGTTTTTAAAACATTATAGAGTTATATAAATTTTCTTATGTACGCATTTTTTTTTTCATAAAAATAATTTAACTGTATAATTATGCTGTGCTAAAGAAAGTTTGTGCGGTCGCGGTTCTCGTTGAACAACATCGAAAGTCTCGCCTTTAAATATCGATCTCGTCGACGAACGATCTCGATTTCACGGAGATACCTCGCTGCAAGAATCTCTCATGAACGCGATGATGACGATTTTATTTCAGGCGACATCATCCCAGGCAATGAGAGCGCAGCCTCATTATCGGCAGCGGTTCGTCTCGATTAACGCTGACATTTATTTTCCGACAAACGCGCGTTCGTCGCACGTGGGACACGCACGCATGCATACGCACGGATTACAGGTGCGCGCGAGCGCGTTACATCGTCTTCTCTCGCGTTGTAGGTCTCGACTCTCGTAATACCCACAGCCCACTTACCTACATTACCCATCGTATGAATGTACGGGCGCTACATCTACGACATCGGCGACGAGTTCATGAGCGCAGTGGCGTAATCAATTTTAATAATTGATCATTTTAGTAATAAATTTCTGCGGCAGCGTGAGACGCTCTTAATGAGAAAGCGCGCAAATGATCTCTAAGCAGTTGCATCTTTGCCGTTTTTTTTTTTTTTTTCTGATAAACGTTATTGCAGATTTCTAAAAAATCTGCAATATCCATTCTATGTCTTTAATTCGACGTTATTATATCTTGATTATGTGTAAGTATGACAATTGTTTGTATATTTATTAATATTTTATTCTTTATATCAGAGGTAAATTGGTGTATAAAAAAAGTCGTAAATTCTTTCAATTCAAAAGATCGCACGTGGTGCATTATACCAAGAAGCTTATTATTTTGAGGATGTTATGTTACTGATAATGAGATGCATCATTAATTTTCAATGTCTTAGTTACGCTGCTGCAAACGCAAAAGTATCGTTTTCTCATCTCACACCACTGTGTCGAGATCTCACAATGTTGCGATCAAAATCGGTATAAAACAGCAGCCAAATGGAATCGTTATCTTCCATCCAAACGTGACTACCGGAGAAAGGAATCGATATATTAGTTACATGCTCGATATGATCGTCCGTCGATCGTGGAACCCGTGTGCCAAATCGATGCTCTCGTCCAGATGTTTTCTCAGCGATCGCTAGTCGAGAAATCGGATCTATCCACTTCCTAGTAGATTTTGACCTGTTCTTCTATCCTTGATTCCATCCTTGACTTAAGAGTGCGGAGTCACTATTATTCTCAATCCATGCTTGATTAATACCTGCCGGGTATCTGTAGCCTACTGACTTCTCTCATTAGCGTTCTTCTTAGAAAACAGCTCTACATCATTTCACTCTGCTAAAATTGCACTATCACATAAAAAAGACATTTATAGGAATAAATAAATTTACAGAAGATTTGTGTATATATTTAATAATAATAAAAAAAAAATTTGAC